TTAGATAATTGCATTAATGAGAAATTGAACAGGTGTTCCTAATAATCCTTTAGGTGAGTGTATATATACCTGGGGACAACATGCAAAATCACTGAGCCATCATGCCACACTATATCAGACATCCAACCATCCATCTTCCAGTCACTTTTCCAGTACAGGGTCATGGGGCACCCTATTTTATATTAGGAATCAGGGGCCAGAGCCAAAGTGCAGCCATCAAAGCTGCAGCAGAGAGAAGCAGCCAGTGGCTCTGGTTGAAGAGGAATGCCCCCTTCTGGGCTCCTAAGTGACAAGCTTAGGCTGTCATATATAGTTTCATGAGATGTCCGTCATCTGACATCAAGGCGACTCTCATGACTATTTGGGCATGGGACACAAGCTTAGGGCTGATCACCCTATAGCTGGCTGCCTCTGGTGAGGGTGTATAGTGTGAAAGGCCGAAACACCCCATGAGCCAGAGGAGCACTACTGATGATGCATCCCAAATTTTTCAACCTACACAAAACATCTCTAAGTTTAATATTCGCCATCCACCGACAAGCTTAACAGTGAACCTATTGTATTTGTATTTGAACCTATTATGTTCTTATGTTCTCATCTTTGCACAAAGGATAGTAACATCGTATCCTTTGTTTCGGAATCTGTCATATTCCATTATAATCTCCATCCATAATTCTTCCAGAAACATTTATCCAACATCTTCACATTATATTGAAGCCTATCTTGGAAACTACAGGGCAAAAGGCCATATCAGTATGTTTGCAGAAACAATATTAGGTCTAAAGAACAGATGCAGTGTGAAATATTACCATGGAGAGATTGTATACTTTTCTGGTCCTTATATCTGCGCTTATATATCAAACCAGTCAAAGCAGAATGCAGAACTGAGTAAGAGTTGTATTTACCCTGCCCTGTAGCACCCTCCCAGGTGATTGCAATCCGGCAGAAGAACACCAGTCAGAACAGCATCACTTTGTTATGGCATGAGCCAGACCAGCCCAATGGTGTTATCCTGGAGTATGACATCAAATATTACGAAAAGGTACATAGTTTTTCCTTGCAGTAAATTTGAGTGCTTGTATAATGTACACTCTGAAGTTTATTAAGCTACACTTCCTTGTTAATGTAAACAGACTCATGCTCCAAATAGCAAATTATGTGGCTACAACTAAATACATAGAGCATACAGACTGATCAAGAAGTTCAGTTATTGCTTGGATAAGCATTATAATGCATAAGATGTGTAATCTAGCATTTTTGCATCCAGCATAATTGTTGGTCCAGATCTGGTACTTCTAAATTCAGTCCCTACAGTTCTAATGAAATACATAATGGGCACTCCAATGCTGGCTTGAGAATACATCCAAATGTCTGCAGTACTATCACAAGCCTTCTGGTGTCTGGAGAATAACTAAACATTATAATAACAGTGCAAAATATGCAATATATGGAGTATTTAGTAGTTTAGTAGCATTTAGTCATTTGTGCTCTCTATTTGGTAATACATGCACTTCGGTTAGTAATTCATGCTTTCAAGTTAGCAATCTGTGTTCTTGAGTTAATAATTAGTTCCATTGAATTAGTAATTCTAACCTTACAAACTTGAGCACACAAATCTCGAGAGGACAAATTATCGAAACCACAGGAAATAATCACTAGAGATTGAATTACTATGAGAAATAACATCAGTCATATATGAATAATTTAATAGTGAAATTATGCAATGTGTCTTTCATCTACAGCCATTTAAAATACTATTTTGTTTCATTTCATTAAACATTTTATTATTTTGATCCTTAAGCAAAAGAACTTGATTGACCTTGATATATACATATGATTTTCATGTAGGACATGGAACATCAGACATACTCCACCTTCAAGTCCAAGGGCACCAGTGCCAAAGTGTCTGGGCTGAAGCCAGACACTCGCTATATGTTCCAGGTGCGCGCCAGGAACTTTGCCGGCTGTGGCCGCTTCAGCCACAGTGTCGAATTACGCACTGGGAAAGCTGGTGAGGACTGACCACAGCCTACATCAGGGGTGGGCAATCTTATCCACAAAGGGCTGGTGTGTATGCAGGTTTTTGGGGTAACCTGTAGGTCAGCTGTTCAAACCCAGGTGTGAGGTTCTCTTCAGCCAATCAGTCCTCTAATCAGTGACCCTAATTAGGGAGTTGCAGCGAAAACCTGCATACACACCGGCCCTTTGCGGATAAGATTGCCCACCCCTGGCCTACATCAACAACCTAATAGTACACAATTAAAAATAATTCTACCTCTTGTTCCATATGAAAGTTACCATTTCCCATAGGGCAATCAAATGTGTAATGACTGTCACAGTAGCCAGTGGTGTTCTTCATAGAGTTCACATTACAGAGAGCTTTCATTAGGCAGCATACAATAAGCACTGCAGCCTCTAACATTCAGGGAGGGGTTTGCAGAATGATGGGGGTCTTGGTGTTTTTTCCCCTCAAGAGAAAATAGATTATTGCACCTTGTGATAGTAAAATTGAAATTGTTATAAATTAATTTTTAGGAGAAGGTTATTACATATACCTTTACATGTTTGAACATGAACAATATTACCATACCCAAGCTGCTTTATTAATAATAATAAATAAATGCCTGTGAAGGGTAGCCATCTATAGTAGCACCCAGGGAGTTAGGGGTTAAGGGCCTTGCTTAAGGACCTGCAGATATACTGAGGCTGGGTTTGAACTAGTGACCTTATGATTACAGGCATCCAGGCTTAGCCCACTGAGCCACACACTGCCCCTAATCCAAGTGTTGTTCAACTTCATATCATAAAGATTTTTTAAGATATAAAACACTACCAAAAGTATTGTACAGCCGTGACAAAAGTAAAAGACCACAGCACAATTGTTTGCTTCACTCATTTCTTAATTTATGGGTGTGTATATGTGAATATGTATTTTTTTGTAAACTGCAGCCTGGTTCTTCTCTGTCTCATTAATGACGGGCTTCTTCCTTGCTTTATGCGTCTTCAGTCCTGCTTCTAGGAGCCCAATATGAACTGTCTTAGCAGTGCACTTCACACCTGCACATACTATTTCCCATTCCTTTTGAAGGTCACTTGGTGACATCCTCCAATTCATCAGAAATTGTGGGACTGTGGGCATTACAATGTTGCTTCTGCCCTTTGCCTGGCTGGTTTCTGGTCTTTCCAAGTGTCTCCTGGTTCACCTTATTCTTGTGTACTGCTGTCTTAGAAATTTTAAACCTGGAAGCAATCTGCTGCTCAGTGTAGCCATCTGCCAGCAGAACCATGATTAAAGCAGGATTTAAAAATGCAGATTTGTTTAAAAATATAGAGTGGTCTCTTAACTTTTTCCGTGGCTGTATATTTGTTAAATGATACAGTGGCAAATAAATCTGGCATTCAGTTTTTTCCATAAAATTCAAAATTTTTACAGGAATGTTCTTGGGGTTGTCAGCATGTATAATGAGTTTTACCATTTTGTTTTATATTTTTAGAGCTTTTTGGATATGACACTATGACAATTATCTGGATTTTCATAATACTGGTCACAGGCCTGGTGGTGTCTCTTGCTGTCTTCATCTGCATGAAATGGTAAGGGGGCATCACATTTCCTAGAATTGTGTACCATAATATAATGTTTTTAAAAGGCAGCGTAAGCTGTAATAGACATACTTTTTTTTTTAAAAAAGGCACGTAAGGTGTACATGTTGTGTATGAGTTCCTCCATTACTAAAATTTAAAGAATCAAAAAATATTCATTTAAATATGAGCTGTCTTCTTGATATCTAACTTAATACTTTACAACACATTCTGACCTTTCACACGAAAAATCATTTTATAAAAAATTACAGACTGTGAAGAAGGTAACATTCTAATTAACAGTATTTCATAAAATTTACTCCAAAAAATGCTTAAACATTAACACAGATTAAACATATTGTCAAACAATTAACAAAAACTTAAAAATATGTCAATCTTCTCTTCTTGTTGCATAGCACTCCAATAATATTGAACAGAGATGTTGAATTAAGTGCAGAAAATATCTTAAACAGTTTGGTTTCCTGTGTTCCTGTGGTCCAGGCCCTGCAGATCCAGTAAAGCCATCCAGAATTCAGATGAGGAGATAATGAATGACCAGCATAGGCACAGTGTGTATTTACGTACTTACATTCTTTATAGTATATTTACTGAAGTTTAAGCTGTAAAGTTTATCGAGGGGTTCATTTGGAGTTACATATCTATATGATACTGTTAGATTTACATTATATTATTATATATATGTGTGTGTGTGTGTATAATAGCTACATTGCCAGATGCCAGGCTTCACATCGACACCAACACATATGAAGATCCATGTCAAGCTGTACATGAATTAGCTCAGGAAATTGAGCCTTCAAGGATAACAGTTGTGAACATCCTTCACTCAGGTCAGTTTTATTATACTTGTAAACTTGTATACAGTAAACCTGTAAAATAATGTATGTCGCAGTATTTTTGCATTATGGTTTAATATTCCCATTCATACAGGTGAATTCGGAGAAGTGTGCTTTGGCTACATGAAGCGCCCAGGGAAGCGTGATATTTCAGTGTCCTTGAAAACTCTGAAAGAGGAATGCAGTGAAAAGCAGCAACGAGACTTTCTGAGCAAGGCCAGCATCATGGCACAGTTTGATCATCCCAATGTCATTCACTTGGAGGGCATTGTCACCAGAAGTAATACATTATGTCCTTGTGATATTATATATACAGTGGTACCTCGGTTCTCGAACTCACTAGAACTCGAATTTCTTGAAAGTCGAACAAACCAGTTTGACCTAGAACTCGATCTGAATATCAGAAGTCGAACCGTGAACGCTGACCTAATATAAATTGCACGCACCAGGAAATGAGTCACACGGCACGTCTCTCAGCGGAAACAAAGGGTAAGGCTTCAGTCTCAGCCTCGCATTCGCTGTGATACCGTCGTGCATGTTTACACAAGCTGAATACATACACTCACCTAAAGGATTATTAGAAACACCATACTAATACGGTGTTTGACTCCCTTTCGCCTTCAGAACTGCCTTAATTCTACGTGGCATTGATTCACCAAGGTGCTGAAAGCATTCTTTAGAAATGTTGGCCCATATTGATAGGATAGCATCTTGCAGTTGATGGAGATTTGTGGGATGCATATCCAGGGTATGAAGCTGCTGTTCCACCACATCCCAAAGATGCTCTATTGGGTTGAGATCTGGTGACTGTGGGGGCCATTTTAGTACAGTGAACTCATTGTCATGTTCAAGAAACCAATTTGAAATGATTCGAGC